CACAGCGTTGGTGTTGTGAGCGGCCCATGAAAAGCCAAATTAAAAATCAAGGATTCAGTCAAACTAAGCAGGTACTCATGCCAGGTACTCCTTTCTCTACCCACATCCATGTTTGAATGCTGTTGCCTGTAATCTTTAAGCTTACTGTTGTGTTTTTGATTTTGAAGCTAGTGAAAAGGACTTTTTGTGTATTGTGTGAATACTGTAAATCTGATGTTAACAGAATGGAATTTTCTTTCAACTGTGTGTAGGGATGCAGTGCTGCCCAGAATTAGATATCTTTAAAGAGTTTAAAATGCAATAAACACTACATAATATTCGCCTTGTTACTTTCAATGCAATTCAAGTCTTTAAGAGGTATGTGCTTAATATTTCCTACTGTGTAGGAGACTTTGCAGTCAGCCATAGCACAGAAGAGTGGAATGGCTGGTAACAGGCTTGTAAGGCAGATGTAAATGCAGAGACAGATGCCACCAAGTGATGGCAGTGTTGATGGCAGGAGTGTATGCTGGAAACTATTTGTGGGAAATGAAGCAGCTAAGCAATAGGCAATTATGTATGGAAAGGATAACTTGAAGTTTTTTCCCCACTCTTGACATAGCTTTCTTACAGAAGGTCTTTAGTTGTATTCCTGAAATAAGGAACTAACAGTGGAGGTGACAGCTGATAAATGAGCTTCTTGCAATATAATTTGTTACTGTAGTTGCATTATGTACGCTAGGAACTCTTCAACATTTAATGTTGGTATTAAACCATTAATGCTACATCATTGCTTCTAATGCCAGTCATGTTCAATGGTGATGTTTTTGTAGAGTTAAGATGACAGCTAACAACTGGGCGAGTGTATAGGAATGGTAAACAAAATGCTCTTAATGCTGTCTAATCGTCTGTTCTCCCAAAATTTTGCATTATAGGACTACTGTGTGAAGAGTCTGCGAAGACAGTGGAAGACAGCTTAAACTGAAGATCTGCTTTTAAATGAGGTGAAAGAAAGCTGTAGTGGCATAGAAAAATATAAAGTTGAGTTAGATTTTTTTTTTTTATTAAATTTAATTCAGGACTGGTGTTTCCTCCCAGAGTTCAAAAAGATGTGTTGATAATAGCACATATGCTACTGAGAATATAAGTCCTGTATCTTTCTTTTTCTTTAAGACTTTTTAAGATAAGAAACCAACATAACCTGAACACATGGCTTGCTCAGTGTTTAATTGCAAGTTTTCATTCTTGGACTTTAAAACACAAGAATAAATGTTTAGTATTTGTGTGAATTGAACTAAAATGAATTCCATTTTTACAACTAAGCAATTCCTAGCTTCTTGATATACGAGAAATGGAAATAAAGTATCTTTGAATTTCTGTTACAAATTTGTCTCTGTCATTGAACATTTAATATTAAATAAGCTTCTTTCCTAATAAATTTCTCATGTCTTCAAGCTTAGCTCATTAATTTGGATAGTTGTTCTGTGCTGTTTGTGGGTTTGGGGTTTTTTGGTGCCATTAGGATTTAATTTTAGGCTTACTTTTGCAGCAGTTAGATGCTGTTAGGTTCAGAGTCTCCCCAGAAAGTGCCTTTTGCTGCAGTTGGTTAAGAAATTACAGAAATCTTGTAATTAGAATGGCAGTATTAGCTGTTTATAAAACAGTTCAACTTCCACAGCATGTTTAGAGAGATGCCAGTGCTGAGGCTGGTGTTCAGACTGCTTCATATTTGCATTGTATTGGTTTGGGGTATTGATTAACAACCTTGTGCAGTTGGTCGGAACAGACACACAGGCAGGGAGATGTGCCCAACGCTTCCCTGTGAAGCTGTAGTGCTTCTTGTTGGAAAAGAACTGCAGCGTGTCCTAGTCAGTGCTGTGGCTGTCAGACAGTGAATTTACATTCTTTAAAAAGAGCATTGTCTTTCCCATTAGTATTCAGGCCTTGACTGTATATGTAACCAAAGTCAGACATGACAGAACAGCATTGTAACTTGTGCTGATTTATTTGGCCTGTGTGTGGAAGTGCACTTGGGAGGAACTTGCATCTTGGTCCCTCTGGTCAGTAGTACTGGGTTTTGATACCACATGCAAACAGCATGTTTCTTTTTTGACTTTTATTGTTCTAAACCAGACACAGGGGCACAGGGGATGGAGACAGGGTGTGGTGGTGTTTTTGGGAAAAAATAAAGTGGGAGCTGTTGAAATTTTAACTAAATTCTAATTTGAGACATTAGATGAACAGCTTCCTCCTTTTGAAACTTTTGAGACAGGACTCAGCCTTTTCCTGGATGTGTTACTTCTTTCAGTGGTGAAAATGTTTGTCTTCTACCATCCACTGCAATTACTTGTTACAGGATTTGCATTTCCCCTTACTCTGCAAAAGTAAGAATAATAAAATGAGGAACCTTGTAGATTAGCCTGGGATTCAGATTCTCACATGTCTCATAGTGGAGTTTTCAATGCTTTGAAGATGAAGGAACATTCTTTTTTGCAGAGCATAGGAAAAACAGTGCCTTTCTGGCCTTCAGATTTGACTGTACAAACATCTCCACAGAGGTTAATCTTTGTGAGAAGTATCTTCAGAGCTTAAGCCCAGGATAAATACCATCCCAGATTTTCTAGGAATGCTATGCAGAAGGCAAGTAGCTGATTTCAGTAAGCACCTCTTACATGTTTTCTCCATACTGGTTTTGACAGCCTGACAGTCTTTATTAGGTGTTAAAGATGTACTGGCCTATGATTTTTCAAAGTTGCATTAAAATTTTAAATATCCTGTCCACTCTAAAGTGATCCTCTTCACATCCTTCTACCCCCTACCCTGAAAAAGGAAGAGATCAAAGTAACTTGAAATGACTGATCCTTTATTATAAAATGAAGAGTAGCAATGTCATTTCAGTACAAGTGTGTAGTGCAAACAAAAGGTGTCCTTGGGAGACCAGTAAGTTTTGTAAACTTAATCTCAGTTGACATTCCAACAGTTCCTTGTTCAAAGAAAAAGCCCAACACAAAACAGCTAACATAACTAGTGTGCCTTAGAGTTTATTAAACTGCATAAAACATACAAAAATACTTCTTTGAATGCATAGATACACTGTTATTACAGTCAGATTACAATAGAGTTTAAGTCTTATCACATTAACTGTTATTCTCGGTGGAAACTAGAGAAATAAAGCTTTTTAAACCAGCTGCCCTTTAGTAGAATGCTCAGTAATTAGTGGAGACAGTCCTTACACTGACTTCCTAAATAAAGGAACTGGAAACAAATTAGATACTCTTAGTAATTTTGAGCCATTTAACCACTACTGTTTTTCAGACAGTTATTGCACATAGTCTGAGCTAGCCTCCAAGCTATGCTGGAGAGATAAGTAACACAATTGTTAAAGTAGAACTTTTTTCCTGTCTTACAAGAAAAACAAAGCAGGAACTTTAGTTAAGAAGTTTTACTTCATACTGTGCCACAGTCTTGAGCTTCCCAGAAGTTGAACCTGGCATTAAAGTAACTCAGCTCCTGACTGAAGAAAAGCCAGGATTGAGAATGGGAAGTTAGCAGGGTTGAGGTGATGGGTGTGGAACACGGAGGAAAGGATGATAATTATTTTGACTGAAGTAAGGAAGAATTTTAAGCCTAAGTAACTTGGTGAAATTCTGAGCCCAGAGTGAAGTATCTCCTCTGCTGACAGAAAGGGTTTCTGTCTTTTCTTGGTGTGCAGCAGCTTGAGGGAATCTTCAGGGTAAAGCAGCACACAGGGAGGTGGCAGCCATACTGCTTCTACCAGAACATGATGCTGTCCTATTTATAGTTTGACTGTCAACATTGCAGTCCAGATCAACAACAAACAGTGTCCATCAGCTGTGCAGAAACTGCCTAGTGCACCTTCATAAAGCAGAGATGGAAGGAAAATCAGTAATTTGGGGTGGGGGGAAGGAGGGGGGAACAGAGGGGAGAAAAAGCAAATCCCTTGCCCCTCCACCTGCCTCAGGACCCATTTAAGGGTTTTGCTGCAAAGGTCAGCATTGTATTTTTTGGTAAAAAAGAAAACAGGTCTCCAAAAGTGTAACTTTCCAGGCTGCCATGTTAATCAGGAAAAGCTTCAGGCTGTTTATACTTCAGTAATGCTGTGACTTAAATATTTTAACCCACAGGTGAATTTTTTCATTACTGACTTGCTTAAATGCAAGTTAAACAGTCTGCAGCTTAACTAGAGTTGTTTTTTTCACTCCCCATGAAGAAGAGGGGGAAAAAAAAAAAAGTTGAAAGCACCTGGAGGCATTCAGCCCTTTCAGTACTCACCTGGCTGTTACAAGGCTATGTAACAGTGACAGTAGACTGTGCAGGATGTAAAGGTACAAGTTAGTTACTTACTCGTGCTGTTTTGCCCATCTAGTGGCTCGTATAAGCAGTCTGTGTTCCTTCCAGCTGTGATCTCTCACGAGGACACTGCTGTGCTTCTCATACAGCAGAAACAACCATTCCCCTTGGAACTGGTGTATGAGAAAGGGCCACAGGGACCCCTGGGCACATACTCTGGACCTTTTCCCTGGGAAAGAAAACTCAGCAGTCCAGGTTCCTGATGTCAGTTTGTAGGGCTCCCTTGGGACTGTCTGGGCAGCACAAGTTTGAGGTGGGGACAACTTGGGTCTGGGGTCCATCCTTCGATGTATTGAATATTTGCCATCAGGTCCCAGCCCCTGGCCGAGCTGCGACTTGACTGCAAAAAATCCATACATTGAAGGATGGACCCCAGACGGAAGTTGTCCCCACCTCAAACTTGTGCTGCCCTGATAGACCCAAGGGAGCCCTACAAACTGACATCAGGAACCTGGACTGCTGAGTTTTCTTTCCCAGGGAAAAGGTCCAGAGTATGTGCCCAGGGGCTGTTCTGTCTTGACAATACTGACATCTGGTGTGAGTAATCCACAGGCTCACATTGGTCAGAAAGTAAATAAAACCATGGACACAGATTGAGGGTCCCTCCCCATCTGAAACAGGGGCTACTCTTGAAAGGGCACTTCAACTCATTAGGAGCGTTTATGAGAGGCTTTTGTATTTTTTGGCGGAGATACAATATTTTCACAGGGGAGATAAACATTTAAATACTGACATGCTTATTCCAATTATTTTCAGCCCAGTACAAGGTTTTCTCCTGCCACCTCTGAACAGTAAGTTATCTCTAGACAACCCATCTTGGTGAGTGTTTGTGAGGGGCAAGAGATTAAAGACTTGCACAATCACACTTTTAGAGAACAACTATCCATGTGTGTGTCTTCCATGAGTCTTACTTGGTCAGAGTGGGTGTACTTAACAAAGTTTTTGTATCAATAATTGCCTCTTTTGTCCCCCCCACTGCCAGATACAACCAATAAACTTTCTTGATACACACTGGAACTGTGATTTTACTGGACAAATGAGGTATCCCTTGCCTGAATACAGTATCAAGTAAAAAGAATAAAAGCAAACAGGATATTAAATATAAAATATTAGTTAAAATAGTAACCCTAATAATAACTTAAGGTTTTACACATGCTTAAGTCGCTGCCTTCCAAAGGGCAGCAGATGTCACTGTCAGTGTTGGCATTGCAGGTGCAGCTCCCAGGGTCAGTAGGTCAGCTTGGATGCTCTGCTCTTGTGGCATGGCTGCTCCATCAGTGCAGCTGCAGTGTTCCAGAAGGGAGAGTTGTCACTTCTCATAAGGACCAACTCCAGCTCTTGGAAGTCCTGGAGTCTGGCAACATCCTTGTCCTTGTAAGGAACAGACAGAACAACATCACTACTCCTAAACATAGCTGATTGTTATTATTTAAAAAATAATTATAGGAAGTAAAAACCAAAATTCCAAGGATATCATCCCCAATAATAGCAATAAAGAATGAAAAAAATAAATCCTACCAGCATATACACATTAACAGTGTAGCAGATTTGCTTATTTGGTTTTTCTCCTCAAACTTCTTCTTTAATCTCAGTACTATTTGGCTGTATCTGTGCATGTCACTTAACCAAGAATTGTGACCACTTTCATTTACAGACCTCTGAAATACACATTTTTTGGAACAGAAGCACAGTTTCATTTGTTAACAGCATATCTTTAAGTTCATATGCCAATTTATGGAGGTTTTTCCCCTTAACTGTTCATTTTTTTAGGCAAGCAGACAGTGAAGTAGTACTTGGCAATTACGTTAAAAGCACCCTAAATGCACTGTTTCTAATACATTTTTTAAAAGTCAAGCTGTAATAGTTCCATATGCTTTAGGAGCTAAAATACTCTGCCTATTTTGACAAGATTATTTTTAAACAAGTTACAATGAAATTTTAAGAAAGGTCCAGCATCCCTTTGAATCTGTCAGTTTAAGTCAGTTTTTATTTAACAAAGGTGACATTATGCCAGTCTTTACAAAAGTACCTCCTCTGATGTCTGCAAAGTGAAAAATCAAGTTAATCTCTTGTTTCTGTTCTTACCTTTCTTAGAAGTGTATTGGGTAGTTTTCTGATCTTCTCTACTTGCTCTGGATTAACACCCAGTTCACAGCAGCTCACTCTGAGCAGATCTTGATAGGTCAGTTCTTGTCTGTCCAGTTCAATCTCAATGAAGTCATTGTCTCTCAGGTTCTGGACTCTGACCTTGAGTACAAGTTCTGACAGAGAAACAATTAAAAGGTTAGTAATAGAAAAGACAACAAACTTAAATCTAACGTTTACAGTATTTACTATTATCTTCTGAATTCTGGTTTTTTAATACAGTCCCCATGATCTGAGAAATACTGTGCAGTTAAGCTTCCAGCAAAAATACACAGGAGAACCATGTTAAAGCTGTTGAAACTGATCCATCCAGTCACAAAGTTGAGCTGTTACCAAACTACTGGAGCTGCATTTGATGCAAATGTAGTGCAGAGTTTAAATGTTCACGTTACATGGACTGATCTTTCCATTGTTTTGCAAAGTATTACCATGGTTAAAATACAGTATAACAGACATTTATGTAACTGAGCAGAAGAAAATTCAAGGCACTTTTGGCCACAGAATTCAACACCTCTGCCTCTATTGCACTAGACTCTGAAGTGAAATGATTATTCAACTTCATTGTTCACCCAGTAACTGTAACAGAACTAGGAGACACGGCACCTGTTTACCTTGCATGTTATACGGGAATGTTCCAGTGAAGAAGAAGGGCTGGAAGGCGGGTGCAGGGCTGCTGGGGGAGGTGTCAGGCTGCAGAGGCAAGGCCTGGCCGGATGCTCCTGGGGAGCAGAGCCCCAGGCTGGTGGCCGTGGCCAGGGGACAGCCAGGGCCGTGGGGCAGCCCTGGGCTGGCACACGCTGAGGCTGCAGCCACGGTGGGCGTTGGGGGTGGCTTGGCTGCTGCACCCGCTGCTGGGAAGGTCTCGCCACTGCTGCATGACGTGGGTATGCAGATGCTTTCAGCCTGAGTTGCTGATGGACAAGGGCTAGTTTCACTCTGGGAAGCAGAAGAGATGGGAGCACTTTCATTCTGGGATTCTGCCAAGCTGCCTGGATTGCTTTCTTCTGTGTAAATGTTAGGGAATGGGTTGGCCAAGTAGTTTGCAACAATGGATAAATTTAAATCCTTCACTTCTTGACATTCAGTTTGTTCCTCTATTGATGAAGTTCAAAAATGAAGGGTAGGGGATGGAGAGAGAAAAAAATCCATCATGTTACTGAATAGATCTTTCTAATTTTGAATATAGTTACTTTTCCTATTGTGTCTTGAAACTACATCACATTCCAAGATCATCAAAGAATGACACTAATGTTCCAGAAGCATGTAATGCTTGGAGACCAGTAGCTGTAAAGTGAAAGGAAAACCTATAAATACCTTCAGTATATTCTGTTTTTAAAAAACAAAGTGAGGGGCAAAAATAGCCTTTGAAAGACACATCAGTTCTAGCAGTATTCCCCCAGGCCTTTCAAATTTATTGGATGACCAGTAGTCCTTTATTGAATCTAATTTTAAAACGCTCTTAATAGCACTGCTGTAAATAGTTTATTATGACCTAGGCCAGCAAATTTAACCCAGTATTTCTTCAAGGAAGTGACTACTTGCTGTAATCAAACTCAACTCCTGCATAAAAGCACTGCAGTTAAGTGACATTCCTGCCTAAGGATTACAGAATATAAATAGTGATGTCAAAGCAGTTCAGAAAGATCTGCTCAATGATGCCACACTCCCAGAATAAAAACTAGGACAGAAGGTAAGTGATATGTGTTTATTCCCCAGGAAACACATGAAAGCTTAACAGAAAAATATGATGACTATGAACAGAGTTCATCTACATGTGCTTGACAGTTTAGATGTTAAAAACAGGTGAGTCGTTTGCCACAAACTAAGCCCACACCTCACCCAAAAGAAACCTAAAGCATCGTGTAAGAACATACCATTCCCTCAGACTTAACTGTTGGAACCTGAGTCATGATTTAGCTGCAACCTTGTGAAGGATAACCCTGCCCTGCTGATGTAAGGGCAGATCAGTGTAGAGAGCAATTTAAGTGCAACTGCAGAAGACATCACATTTCCAAAGGTAAAAGCACCTTAGAATTTTAATCTGGAGCATGATACACAGATGCTGTTCAGGAATGTCACACATCTAACTGGGTTTGCTGTGCATATGAAAAGTGTAAGATGGCAGAATTACAAGGCAAAAATTAACCATACCAGCAAGTCACACTACAACAAGGTGCTCAGAAGGCATAACTTCCTGAATGATAAACTGTTTTGAGGGGATTTTTAGTATTGATCATGGTCAGACCACGGCAAATTGTACAATTGTAAAAGCCCCCATTTGCAGCTTGCATGCCAGCTCTTAATGATAGCCAACAGGAGTGTAGCAGCACACTTCCCAAAGCTTCCCACACTTCTACTTCTTCGTGACACAGCTCAGACCACAAGGCCTTCCTACCTGAAATCCCCACATCTATTTGGCCAACATTAATTCTGGTTATAAATCAGAGCTATCTAATGAGATACAATGGCCCTAGCCAAGGTTTTGCCTGATACTGTTTCAGATAAAATAACTAAAAACATTTTAGTATTTAGACCAAGAATTCTAGATGACTTTTAGAATGGGAAAGGTACCTCCCAAAATCTTGCGGATGTCTGGTTTCGACGTTAGCTGTGCCGCCAGCTCTCCGTTAGCAGTGAGGATCTGCTTGTCTGCGCCAGCCTCCAGCAGGCAGGACACCACCTGGGCATGGTTCCGCTTGCAGGCCCAGTGCAGGCACGTCCTGCAGGAAGGAAGCACAAGGAAGGATTCATCAGCAACCCTGTCCTACCTCATCCGAGTTATGCACAGAGCGATAACTGGGAATAAAGTTTCCTTCATTGCCGCACTTTCTAAAGTTCTGAATCTATAAGTTATGCAGGGCAGAGCCCTCCTTTGCCTTGCAGAGCGCCTCCCACTACTGTGCCACACTGCACGGGGACCTTGTGCAAACACGCAGTGACAGGTGAAAGGAGGGCGACCTGCTTTTATCGTAATCCTCTTCAGCAGTAAATCTCCGATCCTCCCGAGACGACCTTTTCTGTATTTGCAAATGGGAAAAGTACGAAACACAAAAGTACGCAACTCCTAGAGCAGCCCCCCCACTCCGCGCCTGCTGGTGACTGGGGGTAGCCCCGAGCCCGAGAAGCCCGACCCGCGGCACCGAGCAGCGCAGCGGGGAAGAGCCGGGCCCCGCAGCGGCGCGGGCCCGCCCCGTGCCCGCAGCGCCGGGACCCCGCAGCGCCGCCCCTCACCAGCCATTGATCTCGTTGCGGGAGTCGATGTCCGCCCCCGCGCCCAGCAGCCGCCGCACCTCCGCCACGTCCCCCAGCGCCGCCGCCTCTCGCAGCCGCTCCTCCAGCTCCCGCGCCTCCGCCGCCCCGCTCATGGCCGGCGGCGGCCCCTCCCCGCCGCTCCGGCCCGTCGGGAGGGGCCGCGCGGCCTCAGCGCGGCGGAGCCGGGCGCCTCCCGCCCCGGGGCCGCCGGCCTCACGGCCGCCGCCATCTTGGCCTGGCTGTGGAGCTCGGTGTCCCGTCCGGGCTCCTCAGCGCGGTCCGGCGAAGGCCACAGAGATGGTGAGGGGTCTGGAGCATCTCTCTCATGCACAGACGTTGTGCGAGCTGGGCCTCTTTGGTGTGGAGAAGACTGAGAGGGGATCTCATCACTGCGATTCAGTATATTCAAGGAGTCGGAGGATGCTGTCAGACTCTTTTCATTGGTGTCCAGCGACTGGATGAGGGGCAACGAGCATAAACTAAAACACAAAGTGTTCCACCTCAACACTAGGAAGAGCTCCTGTACATTAAGGGTGGTAGAGCTCTGGAACAGCTGCCCAGGAAGGCTGTGGAGTCTCCTCTGGAGACATTCCAGACCCACCTGGACACATTCCTGTGTCACCTCCTCCAGATGAAGCTGCCATAGCAGGGGTTGGACTGGATGATCTCCAGAGCTCCTTTCCAACCCCAATGATTCTGTGATTCTGAGGGCCCCCTGACCTCAGACACTGAAATGGGGGCCTGGACAAGGTAAAAATCCAAGACTGGATTTTTTCCGCTGATGAGTTCATCCTACCTTCCCCTGACCTCCTGAGCCCTGTGTGGGGGCTTGAGGGGAGAGAGCTCCTGGGAAGAGGGAAAAAGCTGCAGGTAAAAGCTGCCTGCTGGCAAAAGCACTTTATAGAATTATTTAGGTTGGAAAATGCCTCCATGGTCTTTGAGTCCAACCCATCATCTATAACAGTGGTCTTGCCCTTTTTGGGGTGTTTTTTAACCAGCAGCCTGGCTCCTGCCTTCGAGCTGTGAGGCTGCCATGGGCTGGGGAAGGACCACAAGGACCACAGCTTTCCCCATACACTTCCAGCCCTGGAACCCCCAGTTCCCAGCCCTTCCCTCTCCAGTGTGTTGCTCACATTCTTAATTAAATCACTGTGGCATGTGTTGGGGAGCTCATTGAACTCCAGGCTTTTTGTTTTGGCATCAGTGTCTGCCACCAAGGAGCAATTTTCACTAAGATCCTTTTTCTTTGCCTCTCTTTTATTGCTTACTTTCCTTATTAGTGATACTATTTTAACTTACCGTTTAATTTAGGGCTTGGGTTGCTGTTGCTTTGCTCTGCTGTTCCTTCTCTGGTAGTTAAGGCCATTAGGTGAAGATGATGCCTGCATTACCATCCAAACAGTTCCTGAATATCTCTCCGTATAAATGAAGCTTCAAAGCACAAATACTCATCTTCCTTTTAATCAGTCAGGCAAGGCAGAAGCCCACAGGCCAAATATTTCTCTAAGAGACATGCAGCCCTGCAAACCACCCTCATGAAAGCAGGAGGGAGAAGCAAACAGTGACATTTTTAACTACTGTGGCAAAGGTTACACGGTGACTCAGTGGCAAGTTTTTCACACCAGATCATATGCTGTTGATCCCATGCAAGAGACTGAACAAAAATTTTGCCCAGCTGCTACCAAAAGATTCAACAAAATGTATGAAAAACAACTGGATTTGGAGAATGGTTTGTAAAGATTTACCTGATGACAGCTGCAAATTCAAGCCGTAGAGACCTGGAAGACCAGCCCTCAACTGGACACTGCTGTGACCTGAATATTTGTGTTTTAACTCATTTGCTTTTTCAGTAAAGCCATCTTAAATGATAACTCTTTAACCCACAATCTCTCTTGTCTTTTTTTCAGTGTCTGTGCCATAAAGCCATAAAACAAAGACAAGGCACAAACAAATGGAGACCTAGTGATACATTCTAGGAAGCAGAGTGCCCTCTTGCACACCATGAAAGCTTTAAATTCCGATTATTTACATCTGAAAAAAATCCGGTAGGATTAGTGGCAAAAGAGCTTTTTCCAAAGTAATACAAGACAGCTTTCAGATAGATGGGGAAAAGCTACTGAGGAGGTGAGTGCAGGGACAGGCCTAAAACTAGGAACAGCACTCCTGTGGTGTTCTCCAGTGCCACTGCCACTAGATGTCACAGTGGAACAGCAAGAGGAGCCTGGAGTGTGGCTTTGTGCTTCTTGCTGTAATTGTGGAATGCCTTTAAATTTGTCTTGGCACATCCATAGTGTCTCCATGCAGCTTTGATCCTGCAGATTTCAAAGCTCCATGTGGTGCAAAGGGACATTACGCAACATTTCCACACAAGTGCAGGGAAACCCAGTGCAGGGAGCTGCGGGTGTTATGGGCTTTTTTCTTTTCTTTTTTTCCCCCTCTACTTGAGCTCCTCTCCCAAAGCCACACAGGGCTTTTAAGGACTCCAAGGCGGTGGTGATGCACTGAGATGCTCTCTCTCACGCTCTCTTGGGATGAGTATCCTACTCTGTTGCACCTGTGCCAAGCCTTGTTAAATGGAGCTTGGGTTCACCATTGCTTAGTTACACAATGTACTTCTCCCTGGAGTCATGAGATCTCCTCCTGCAAGGAAGGCTGTGTGCAAGAGGATTAGCAGCGAGTTCACTTGACTCAAACCTCCCCACCGCCGCTCTGCCCCACACGGAGCCTCCCACCCCCTCGTACTCGTGTGTCCCCTCCCCGCTTATTGGCACTGGTGGCACACTCACCAGCTCCCAGCAGTGCCAAGAACTTCTCCTTTCGCTGCTCCTTTCCCATATGAGAGCTGGGTTTGTACCTATGCAGGGCACACACACACACACACACCTCCCTGCCAAGAGCAGCAGGGCCTGCAGGATCTGCAGGCATGGGGCAGGTGCCAGCTGAGTGCTGCTCATCGCCTTTGGAAGCTGCTGGGAATTGCACATGGTGCTCATGGCTGGAGCAGCCGCTTTGCCTCCCAGATGTTAAAAAACCTTGGCCTTCAGTGGGAACACGCTGAGCTCTGAGCCTGTGTTTGGAGCCCAGGTCGGTGTTGTTTTGTTTTCTTTGTGATTTACAGGTGCTCAGTGCTCAGTTCCCCAGCCTTGGGCACAGCCCTGAGCCCTGGCTTTGCCTGGCAGAGCCAGCACCTCGCTATCACAGCCTTGCAGTGACCACAGGGGAGGCTTGGGCCAGTCTTTGTTCCCACAGCAAGTTTTCCAGATTTTTTTGGTTATGCATTAATTTATGTCTTTATGCAAGCTTCTGACTGTGTCTGATCATCTGTATTCATTTTTTTCTGCTTTTTTTTTGGAGAAACCATGGTCTGCCTGTTTGCTTTTTGATCCTGATTTTTTTAAGGCTTATGAAGATTTTTATTCCCTTTGCATTTCAGGTTTCATTCCCTACATAACTCCATTCCTCCTATTAAACCAACTTCTTAGTCACTGAAAGTTATGATTAAACATATTTTTAAAGGCTTAGTTCCCAGTTACACAGTGATACTGACAGCTGTACAATCATCTTTGAAACACTCAGTCCGCACCCAACCCCACCAAAATAATGTTTCTGGTAATTTAAATCAACATTGCAGTTGTGTCCACAGTTGTGAGAAATATGATTTAGGTTCATCTTAAATGAAACCTTAAATATGATACTTAATGCACACTCACAGATATACCTGTTTACCTGTTACCTAATTAAGGCTCAGGGAAATGGAAGAATTGGTGAAGAATAAAGATGAAATTAAAAGTCAAGCCCAATATTCATTTAGATTTAAGCTAATCTATGCTGCTCACACTGGACCTTTCAATGAGTTTGAAGGCAGAGGAGACAATTTCAAAGGAGGAAGTCAAAGTCACATGGGAGCAGCAGTTTATGCTATACCAGTTTTTGTGCTCACCCCATGGAAGCCCCCTCTGAGCATCTGTAGGTGAATTAGGCTAAATTTAAACCTCCACATTATCAAGTCTGAGCCTGTGTCACCCAACACTCACTTCATGTTCATGGGGGAAACATGCAGCACAGAGGCAGATACATCTCCTCCCAGGGCAAGGATCTAAAATAGCCCAGCCAAATCAACCTCTGGAGATGCCCCTTGTGTTCTACCCCCTGACAAAGGATCCAAAGAGAATGGGCTTTGAACCAAAAAATTTCCAGCTGCCTACTGCCAGGCAAGATGAGCACCTGAGGCAGGGTGGATAGGGCTCTACTAAATAATAGTTCCTCTATTTTTGATGAGATTAAAAAATCCTTCCTGTGAATTCCAGAATTGCAGAGAACTCACCCATCATCTTTCTTTTGACCATAAATGATAGCTTTTTCACTAAATCACCTGGAAGGAATTGCTACACTGCTAGTGATACAGAGGACTGGAATTCAGGACAGGTTTTAGCACCCTGGAGCATCCCTGAATTTCAGTGCTACCAGC